AGAAAAACTGTTTCTGCCATCTGTTATTTAACTATGGGACAACCTCTGTGCATTTGCTTACACTGCTGAATCTCTTTTCTGGGATGTAAAGGTTACTTAGCTACAGCATGGCAGCTCAGTTCAGTGGTAACCTCCGGATGGAGGAACATCGACGCAGAAGCAGCGTGCTGCTGATGCCAGACCAAGAATAGGCTTGGTCTATATTATGGTTTATATTAAAATTCCCATCCAATTAACTCCCAAACCTCATGAAAAGTCATCAGTTCACAGTTAATATTAGTCACAGCCAAGAACAAAGGAACTCATCTGGTCAGGGGCCATGTGAGGACATTTTTTACTACAGAAATGTAAAATCTAAGCAGATGCATCAGTCCCATTGATAGATGAGGAACCGAAACACCAAGATGCAGAGACTGACTTGGGTCTATAGTGTAAATGGGTGACGTTCTGAAGTCTCAGGCACTTAAGTGCTGCCAGGAGTAGAACATATTTCTCTTCCATACACCAATAAGATTAGCAACAGTAGCAGATTCCCACCCGCAGTTTTCAGAATTCATCAGCTTGTCAAAAGCCAGCTCTGAGATCTGTACCTCTGTAGGACCTCATTTTTTATGATACAATTCCAACCACTTAAAAGGAAAGCACAAGACACAGACAATACATAGGGAATTGTCTGGAATGAGTTCTGACAGAACATGTCCATAGGATACTACATCAGTGCAATTAGTGTCCTCTTCAGACAGATCAGTATATTTAGTAGAATCAATGAAAATATTCAAAAAAACCCTCTATAATTATAAAAATGATTATTTATTTAATATCACAATGCTCTCACTCTCAATGACATTCTGTAAGCAGAGAATTCTATAAATATACTCTGTGCACATAAAACTTGCACTTTTTCCATTTGTATTTCCATTTCAGGAGGTGATTCCTTATTCCTGTAACTGGGGGTGTAACTAACTGCAATCTAGAGGACTGTGAAAAAAAGAAATGGTCACCCACACTGCAAAATAGAAAAACAATTACACAAAACCAGACACAGCATAGATTGTAGTTTATAACATATCAAATGTCAAGCACACAGGGTGAAACAGAAAAAGCTAAAGCCACAAACATCCATGAATAAGTTTAGATCAGAAATAAGAGTAAAACTTTGAACAGACAAGCAGTAAAAAGCAGTACCAGCAGCACATGAACAAGCTTTGGAGGGCTGGCACTGATGTTTTATGAATCAGCTGCCTAAACTAAAGTAGGAGATAGGACAAGATGACACAGATGTCCCCTCTAGTCCTAGATCTTCAAGAGTAGCTATCTCTGCTTTACCTAGCAGATCTCTCTTCAAAGCAGGTTTTCTATCCCTTGTGAAACAACAGCTACTACCATAGGAGGGAACCAAGATTTGCTGTTAGCAGGGGTGGTAACGGATGAATGAGCCTTGTGGACACAACACATGGCACAGATGTTATTCAAACATACTCCTTACACACTTCATCTTTAAGGATATTCTATGTATAGAGGTGCCACTATCTATGTATAAAACCTTCTACTTTTTCAGATAAATTCCATCAGATAATACCCATTGCTCAAATTAAGTTTGTAGATCGCTATAAAGTATTATTCTTTTCCATACAGCTGCTAAAATACAACTTACTTCCTTGACAAAAACAACCCTTTACTGAGCCCAGGCAATTAAGCACTAGTAATTTCCTTCTCAGGCTCTGCCAAGGGTAAATCTCCGCCAGTGTGTATCAGAAAACACAAGCATAAAATCACATACACCCTTAATATACTGTGTCTTCATATCAAACCAAAAGAAAGCATTGAAGGCACCACAAGAGCTGGTAGGATATCTTCTATTCACTGACTCACCAATCTTGCTGTAAGAAAATGCAGGTAAACCCAGAAAGATGTTTTGCAGTTTTTCCATCTTACAGTCATCTTTTTGCTTCTTTCCAAATATTTGTGAAACTCCACAATACTGAAAAGTATCAACATAGGAGAGCTTGAGCCCAACAGCGCTGAAGACTCAGTTTGACCAAATGCATTTTACAGCAAATGAAGCCCACAGGTGTATTCACTACCAGCTGACAGTGATTTCAAAACTATTAACTGCAATAAGAGGGTGATGAAAAAGGTAAAGACTACCCTAAATTGTACCAGAAAGATATAAAAGAGAAAGAGTTGCCAATGCTTTTTTCTAAAACAATGGTGTGTTACACAGCAACGTGAGTAACTTTGGTCATCCATCTGAAAAACAGGTTAATGTCAGCTAGAATATTCTCTGAGATGGTTTCCTGAAGTGTTTATGTTAGGCAAGATTGTAAAAAAAGTGCCTTCTTTGACCTAAAAAGCAAAGGAAAAAACAATGTATGACAGCACTCTGCAAAGACATCAAGGCTAAACACTAGAGAGGGAGATGAAGCGTCTAAACTAAAGCAAGGCTTTGGCACAAGGACAAAAGGGATTATACCTGCTATGAATACATTCAAACTGGAACTAGAAAGTGTCTAGCCATCAGAGCTGAGTATGGTGTAGCCTCACAGTGGGAATAACATAAGGAAAATAACCTAATTAGTTTTAAGAGGGAGATTGGAAAGTTTAAGAATGTCTCAACAGCAGGGGACTGGATTTGGGAAGTGCCTTTTAGTCCTGTGTTCAAGGAGGAAGACTGATCAGAGAAACAACCAGAACCTGTCTCTGCATAAATTCCCTTTCAGAAGCATTCTTGCGAATCACTCTCATCAGGTTTAATTTTTCACACCTTTAGTTCACAAACATCATCACAGATTCCTGCAAGTGCCAGATACCTGTGTGTACCTGACTATAGGTTAATATCTGGAGTTATTAACTGAGCCTCTATTTTGCCACTGATATACTTCAGCCACTCTTAATAGGGATAAGAAGCACTGTAGCAATAATATGGCAGGAAAAGTGAACAGGATTTGGGGTGGGTTTGGACACCCATCCAGGTGTTAGCACGCAAAGTGACACATAACTGTAGTAAATCTGGTATAAAACTTGAATTAAACTATTTGTAAATATTATTGTTTTTCTTCCATGTACCATCCCTTCACAATGATGCAAATGCAATTTTAAGGCCATTTCTACATAAAAATGGGTTAAACCAGAAAAAAAAGTTTGTTGGGCTTTTTTTATTTTATTTTATTCTGAAGAATTTGCTTAATCACTGTCATTGAAACAAGAAACATCATAGAAATTACAAAAGAAAATATAGGTACAAAGAACATATAGAAATTAACAGACTTCAATACACTTCAGTGTGTTCCCAAAATGCCAGAAAAGAGCTGCTATGACATGCAAAGTGAAATCCTATCTTCACTGAAGCAATACTGTAGTCTTGATAAACATTTCACTCTGGAACTGTATTCCCAATTAAAGAGGTGCATCATTAACTACAACAAGTAGTAAGAGCTCTGAGAGGAGTTGCCTCAGATGAACAGGAAAAGAATTAGCAGATGATTGTCACTTTGTTTTTCTTTTACACTACATATGGATGAGTGATTGCTACTATGACTTGAACCTCTTCCATCACCACGTGTGACATCTATGCATGATTTTGCAAAATTAGATCTTTCTCTCCTACACCAACAACATTTTTCTTTCCTCGAAAATCACCCAAAGGTTGTCTCCCCAGGGCTCTGATTTGGTGGTCTTTTACCCACGTACCACCTTTTACTTCCCAGCATATCAACCTTGGTAGTGTGAGTTGACCTGAACTCCTCGAGCTCAGAAAGCCAAGCACTGTCAACCCTCCAACCAACACGAGAAAAAAAAACAGGTGTGCAGATACAACAATGGAGTGACCAGAGGCTCTCTTCATAATTGCTTTTCACTCCCAAGAGTGTGCCCACACTCCTCCCAGCACTTCTCAGAGGCACAGGGCATGCCTGAGTGTGCAGAGCTCTGCCAAAAGGAAGCAGAGACAGAGCCACACACATTGTGCCAGGCAAAGGGCCCTGGCTGGGAGCAGCCATGAGCCAGCAATGCTGCTCCCATATCCACGTCCACACAAGGTGGGAAGGAGCCATGCCCACTCATTGTCCCTCGTAGAATCCCAGTTGGAAGGGATCTCTGGAGATCATCTTGTCCAATGCCCCTGCCAAGGCTGGGTCACCTGGAGCAGGTGACACAGGAAGGCGTCCAGGTGGGGTCTGAATGTCTCCAGAGAGAGAGACTTCCAGGACCATCCTGGGAAGCCTATTCCAGTGCTCTACCATTCTCAATGTAAAGTTCTTCCTCATGTTGCAGTGAAACTTCTTATGTTCTAGTTTATGGCCATTGCTCCTGGTCCTGTCGCTGGGCACCACTGAAAAGAGTCTTTCACCATCCTCTTGGCACCCGCCTTTGGCATACTCATATACATGAGATCCCCTCAGTCTTCTGTTCTCCAGAGGAAACAGCCCAGCTCCCTCAGTCTCTCCCAAGAGATGTCCCAGACCCCTGATCATCTCCCTAGATGTGCTGTTCAGAGACACTCAACCCTCCTCTCTGCCCCTGTCCCTACAGACGAGCTGCGAGACGGCCCGGGGCGACACGGGGGGCACCTCTTGCTCAGGGCACCCCTTCTCTTCACCCGCTGCAGGCTCCTGTGCACCTGCCTCAGCCCATCCGGGGCAGGGCGGGCACCTCCCCAGCTGCCCCCCAGGGCCCTCGAGCCGAGGATGGGGAGCGGGGCAGCCCCAGCCCCACATGAGGAACCCCCCCGCCATCGCCGCGCGGCGGGGGCGGCGCGGGGTGATGACGCCATCTTGGGCAGCCCCGCGATGGCGGCCCGGGCTGAGCCCGCGGCCCCCGGAGGCGCAGCCGGGGTTGGGCGGCATCTGCGAGGCGTTTGCGCCTCGTACGGGGCAGCTGCGGGTCCTGAGGGCTCCTCCAGCCTCCCCGCCCGCCCCAGCGCCTCTCCTGCCCCGGCTTCACCCGCCTGCCCTGGGCCCTTCCCCGGGGCGGCGGGGCTTGCCTGGGCTGTGCCGGGGCACTGCTGCCGCAGCGCCCTGCGGCGGCCCCGCGGTGACAGAGGGGCCAGAGCCGGCCAGGGAGCTGCACTGGGCCTTGGCGCGTGTCGGGTGTGTGTCACAGAGCTCGTGTTTTCTTGTTAGCCAGCAGATCCCCCCCTACACTCCGTACAGCCATGGAGGAGAGGGGTTGGCATCTGAAGGAGGTGGGTTATCAGAGCAGTTACCAAATGTACGGTGCTGAGCTGGGGTTTAAACAGGGAGACCCAAGGCACTGTGGGCATGGAGCGTGAGGCTTTTTTAAAACACCTCTGTTGGAAAAAACATAAGGCAGGAGGTGGCAATAGTTTAACTTGGCATAGCTGCCAGCCTACCTGCAGCAATCTAGGAAAATACACCAGGAATAACAGACTGCAAGGCAAATAGCCCTCTTGATTTTGTTGTCCCTGAGCCTTGCTCAACACTGAGTGTCCTCCAGGGGAGAAATGAAAGATCATCCCATATGCTGGCATGGCCTAGCCCTGGCCCAGCGTCACCCTATGCCTCATGTCTGCAGACAGGTTGGGTTACCACCTGGAATAGCCCTTGACATCATGGCAGGGGCAGGATCCTGATGGAACAACTGCTCTGCAGTTGACTTTATTTCCACCATCCTATGTTCTATTCAAAGACAGACCCTCAGTGAAGAGTTTTGTTTTGATTTTTTTTTTCTTCCAGGAAAAACTCAAGACTGTCCATAGATTTTGATTGCTGTGAAAATCTATGTGAATTAAAGGCAGCTATATGGAGGCAATCTCTGCCTTTCACACACACACCTGTGTATGGCTTTTACAACATTAACCTTTATGATAGTAAATCTTACACCACTGTCACAGCATTTATGTCCTGAGATCTTCTGGAAGCCTGGGGCTTGGCAGAAAACATTCCCAGTATAGTGAGACATTTGCCGGAACTTATCACTGCAGATTGTGTTGTTCTCAAATCTGAATTTTCTTTGTCAGAACTGTCCACAGAAGTGCTCTGAATCATATTTGTTTCTACACACCTCTGGGAAGCTGGGCAAAACCCACTCCCTCAGCCAGGCATGTTGGACAAACTTGTTTCTTCCTGCTGGATTTTACAACCACAAACAAGGCTTGAAAACAAAACAAAACAAATCAAAAAACTCACCAGCAACACCAGCAGCCCTGCTCTGAACATGTGGGATGCTTCCCTGGATCCCTGTTCATTTCCTGGAGTGAAACTCAGACACACCAGTTCACTGCTGTCCTGAAGTGTGTGGAAACTTTTTTTTCCCTCTCCCTCCTTTTCTTTTCCCTCCTTCCTTGTGTTGATTTGTGGGACCAGAATGACTTTGATTTCAGCAAGTTTGCTGTTTATTCACGTCACAAGTTTGACAGCTTTACACCAAATCAGATTGCTGGGTTTCAGGAGAGCTCTGAGGCGTCACTGGGAGCTCCTTTAGATTAAACTCGCCTCCCCGGTCTCCCCCCTCTCCCCCTCCTTCAGAGCCTTTTAAACCTCTCTGGGGCTTTAACAGAAACGTGCTCCCAAGACCTGCATTTCATTCTGCCACTAATATGGTAAGTGCTCTTTGCATTTCTCTCGACCTCGAGGCAGAAAAACAGAAGCTGGTCTCTTTGCCTTGGGGGCTTGCAGTACATTTTGTGCCCACTTTAAGATGGGGAAAAAGAGGGCTCTCCTCCACCTGCAAGAGCAGTCTCTGCTGCTGTGCCTTCCCATGGGTGAGCAGATTCCCTCTTTGAGGCTCCAAGCTCTACCGTTGCCTTGCAGATATTTAGAGCTGCTGCAGATGGGGCTTATTTGGAGGAGTGGAAAAGGGTGAATCCAGAGCCAACCCCAGGCTCTGCGGTCTGGGACTCCTGTAGAACTGCAGGGGCAGAAGAGAGTGCGAGCAGCCTGGAGGTGACTCTGCAGGCTTTGTGCTGCTGCTTTAGAGCTGAATCAAACCTCCAAAGTGGCAGGAACGGTCTGGCCAAAGACAGCCTGGGACCTCCCTTCACCCTAAACCCACTCAGCACCGTAGTGTTTTCCAAAGGATCGCAGGAAACTCAGCTACCTTCCTGGCACAGCTCTGCTCGGAGCCCCTGTGCCGCCGGGGGCTGCGGCGGGGCGGCTCTGTCCGCGCTCAGCGGAGGGAGCGGTGCCGTGCGGGGCCCCCGGGCGGGCAGAAAACAAAAGGGGGGAGCGGGCACCCGGGTCGGGACTGGGAGCGCCCACGGGAGCAGGCGGCGCCTGCCCTGGGACAGGCACCTGAGCACAGCCCGGCCAGGACAGGAGCGAGGGGAGCGCTCGCCGGGGCCGGGCTGACACCGCCTCCCTCGGGGGCTGCGGAGGGGGCACCGCCGTCCCCCGGCCAGCGCCCCATCGCCTCGGCCCCTTCCCTCCGCAGAGCACCGGCCGGCCGTGCCCGGAGCCGGACTTCGCCGGGGGCCCGGGCTGCGCCTGCCCCTGGTCCGCCCCCGCCGGTGTTTCCAAGGAGACCTGGGCCGCCGTCTGCGCCGCGGAGCCGCCGCACAGCCAGGGCCGGCGGGAGGCTCGGCTGAGCCCGGGTGAGTGCGCTCCCGGGAGCGGGGCTCCCGCCGCCGGGCAGGGCGAGGGAGCGGGAGCGGAGCGGGCTAACCCCGGCTCTGCTCCCCCAGGCCAGTTCTGCAGCCCGCAGCTCGGTGCCCAGGACGCGGCGTGGCAGGGAGACCAGCTGTCCTCCCAGCTCTACAGAAACAAGCAGGTAAAGGCTCCGCGCCGCCCCGGCAACGCGGGTTTCACCCCACGAGGTTCCTGAACTTTATATCCTGTATCGCACCTTCTGGGTTGGTTTGTGACGTATCTCCCTCTCGCTTGCACAGTTGTGGGAAGTGACAGAAAGCCGCTTTATTTGTTGTTCCTTGCTTGAAGTATTTGTCTCCCCTGTGTTGCCCTGTGAGGTTGGAACAGCTGTTGTGGGGTTCCCTATGCATCCCTCCTCTCTTACTGCATATTGCACCTTGGCACTAGAGAAGACCAGGAGCATGACTAGGAGGTCCCTTGGGCTCTGATGGTGCTGTTGTCCAAAAATATGTAGTGTGTCCTCCTGATTCAACCAGGTTTAACTTCATGAGAAATGATTCCACTAGAATTACCTAATTCCATGGAGGATCAGCCGTTTTGACCAACAAGGATTTCCTGGTTATTTTATTTTCTCTCATTTTTCCTTTTTTATAATTCCCAACAAGGAGCAGGAGAGACTCTGAACAATCCTAGATGAAGGAACTCCAGACTGATGACTCTGATCAAGAACTTGGAATGATGTTTTGACACAGTGAAGTCAATGAAAAGTCATTTATTAACTTAATCATCAACCCTAGTTCCAGATGCCAGTGTACTTCTTTCTTTGGCTCTACCTCAGTCATTTGAGGCTGGTGCTTCACAGCCTCTGCTCAGCAGATGCCTGGGGTCCTTAGCAGAAGATCCTTTGTCCTCCTAAAGAAGTCTCCGGGTCTGTGATCAGAGGGCAAAAATCTGTCTGCAAACACATAGATTTCCCATGAAAAAGGGTTAGGCACCTTCCATTCCTGTTCAGCTCTAGGGAGCGGGAATTAGCTCTGTATATGTACCAGGACTAGCACAGTAGGGTCCAGAATTGAAGGGATAACTGCATCCTACTGTATCATAAAGAATGGCAACTGCATCTTCCCTCTGCACTCTACTCCCATAAGTTGTTAGTCTGTAACTCCTCCTCCTTTCTTCTCACCAGCCAACCATAAAGAGGAATGAGGGATGCAAAGGGATGTTTACTGCCACTCAGAAGGAGATCCTGCAGCTGCTGTCATGCCCATGACGGTTTCTGGCTGCTCACAGGACTACCTGTAATTCTATTTTCTATTATTATTCCGTGGTTACAGGTTTTTTCAAAGTAATCTTCTCAAATACTCACTAAAGATTAAAGGAAGTTAAAAGTGAAAACTGAACATTCATGCCACTTAGATTTATAGAGACAAGAGGCTGGAGGGGGTGTGTTGAGCTCACAAAGCAAACACCCACATCATCAAATCCAAGCAGCCTGTACCATAGGGCAGTTGCTATTAAGTTACAGAGTCAACATCTATTCATCAGTATCTCTATTCCACAGCTTCAAGATACTTTGCTTCAGAAGGAAGAGGAACTTGCTAGGTTACATGAAGAAAATAATAACCTCCGACAGTACCTGAATTCTGCCCTGATTAAGTGTTTAGAAGAAAAAGCCAAGGTATTGTGTTCAAACGTGTTGTGTAGATGTGTGCAGAAGGAACAGGTTAAATAGGTACAGGCCATTAAAATATATGGAAAGCCAAAGAGTGCAGACAACCAGCAGTGTGAGATTTGACTTCACAGAGCTGCCAAATTGCTGGTCATGGATCTAAGGTGACAGTTTCCTCCAGGAATGATATCCTGTAAGTTTTGACTGTGGAGACAGTATAGCCCATGGCGTAATTTAATTTATTAGTTATAAGTAAGGGTTTATAAGCAAGGTAAAATTATTCCATCTAATGCATTTTTTCAGTAAAACGATCAAGTTTGAATACATATTTCTTTAATGTGCCTGTTTTTTCAGTTATCCCTTTGATAAAGATTGTTTCCCTTTTTTTACAGGGTTTTTTTGTGATTTCTGGTTTATGTTTTGTTTTGTTTTGTTTGATTTTCCAGTGATATGTTTTTATTAGTTTACATTAGAATAGTGAGCTATATTTTTTCCAATTTATTAATTAAAAAGTTATGTGGCATTTTTGTAAAGGTAAAATACAAAATGAAACATTTCACGTTGGATGAAACATTCTGTTAGACTAAGTATGAAGGAATTTTTTAAATATTTGGATTCTTTGTCTCTCATCTTAAAAAAAAATAAAGATATTTGTTCATTGTCAGCTTAATGACATTTTTTATTATTCCAGTCAGTTATTCAGTAGTAACCATCTTCTACACCTAAAATCTGAGGTCAGAAACATGTTTCTTTCAGGTATCTAGAAAATCAGATTTTAACCTTCTCTCTCTACCTTTTTGTTTGTTTGTTTGTTTTAATAGAAACTGCTATCCTGCCATGGACAGAAAACCTGTGCTATTCTCAAAAGTGCCAAGAGGAGATTAAAAGAGGACCATTGCTTTGTTCCTCAAGAAACTCCTCATGCTTCCAAAGCTAGAAGGAACCTCTTGGATGAATTCACTGCCTGTGAAGAGCAGGCCAGCCCTGCCGTGGACCGCTGGGTCTTGCAGACCTTAGGATTAAAAGATGTCAACACCATTGATGAAGCTTCAGCTAACTACAGTGCCCTGTCCTCAGACCTTGGAAAAGACACGTACTGCCTGAGCCCTGGTGAAGCAATAGGCTATGAGCACAGTGAAGGAGCAGCAGCAGCGTTTAGCTGCAGCCACGTGCCTCCAGCTGACAGCAGTGCCCATCCATGCAGTGAGGACTCTCCCTTCCTTCCTCAGTTTCCTTCAGCACCATGCATCTCCTCAGCAGTACCTAGTGTTTCCTCCCTCCCAGCGTATGGGTTGCCTTATTTGCCTGGTGATCTGTCACCCAACAAGACTGAAGTGGCCTTCACAACTTCTCTAAGTCCCCACCGCAATGTGAGAACACACACCTTCCACCAAGGACAAGCCTTTGTGCGCAGGGATGACGACGGAGGATGGAGATTCACCTGGGTGCCCAAGCAGGCTGAATAATGCACCTGGATCAAGGGTCAGCCATAGGGGGGGTAGGAGACACATTTCACCTTGTGCATGAGACAGGTTCAGGTCTAAAAAATGAACCCTTCTGGGCTTTGTTAAATGCTACTCTGTCACTTACCCGCTCCTTATTCCCTCCCAGATTTTCACAGGTGTGACTCCAGATTGCACTTGGACAATTATCTGCCCCAGGCCATATGTACAAATTGGATTCCCTTGTCTTGTGTCTGTGTTGAGATACCTGCTTTTACTTGCTTCCTGGTTTTTCTATCATCAGCTAGTCCTTGTTACTGGTAGTTTCCAGGCTGGAGTGCTTTCAGCTTTGATGATCACTCTCGCATGCACCAAACTGGAAAGAATTTTGGGTTACAGTTGGGAAATAGCACCTCTCTCATAGATATCCACGGATAACAAAGGAGGCATAGGTTGGAGACTGGGTATCAGCAGTTTCTAAGTGATTTGTGTCTGTCTTGACTGCGCATATTGCCTTGGATTTAAGTACCCATGGTTGCCTTATGTGCTACATAAGGCTGACCTGTCTGCAGATCCATGGTGCTGTCACATTCTTTGATGATGCCTCAAAATAAACAGGGTTTGCTTCTATTGCCTGGAGGCTACTTAATTACAAGTGATTCAGCGAGTTCAGGGGATCTTTCTAAGGTGTGATTAAGAGACTAATATGTTTACTAATATGTTTTAAAGGTATTTTGTCGGTTAGATAAAGAGAGTTTACCTTTGGGGAGGCAGTATCAGTGGTTGGAGTGAGTCTTTGGGAACCACAGCCTTCTTGCCTTTCCATGTCTCTGCCAGGGAGGGGTGGGCTCAAGGTAAGACCATCACTACCTTGAGAATGCTTTAAAACTCTCTGAAGAGAAGGTGCTCTAGCACTGCACAGAACTTGACTTTTAGTAATGATACTAATGATATGAAGTCAACAGATATGAAGGAAGCTCACCAGTACTGTTTTGTGTTACCTTTGTTTTCTGATTTACAGTAATTTGGTGCCTAAGTATTCAAGATAGATTGATTTGGTTATTCATGCTTTCAGAATCGTGTCAGTGACATTAAGGACTTAAGTAAAAAGTAACCATAACTGAGAATTTCCTTCCAGTGGCTTATTTTCATATAGAAAAATGGATATTCCTTTATTTTTATCTCCTAAATAGCCTGTTGTGCCTTAGAATATGTGACATACTCCATCAGGAGCAGTGATGATTTTCCAAAAGACTTTTAAATAAACAAACTCTTTATTTCTGGGTAGTTACTTTAAAGTAACTGTGGCAGATTTCCAGAATAGGCAATTAGAAAGCGCTGATTGTAGACATTATTGCACTGGGTTAAAAAAACAACCAACCAAAAAAAAAAACCAAGCCAACCACAAACCCACACAACAACCACCACAAAAGAAAACCACAAAAAAAACCCAACAAAAAAACCTCAAACCCCAAAACAAAAAATGCACATGGAATAAATACAAAATCTTTGTTCGAGAAGTTTGTTGTAGTCCATAAAATTATGGCCAGCTGATGAAGACTAGTCAGATAAGACCACTGTTTCTGTAGCACTTTTCTCCTTTTCAGTGAAAGCAGAAGAAAAATCCTGTCCTACAAACAACTCATTTCTTTCTCAAGGCGTTTCATTTCTATTAATCTCCTCTTGCTCCACTATATAAGATAACATTGAAAAAAATGCTCCTGTCACTGGAGTTTTGATGGGGTGTGTGTGGTACTGTAGAAAATACGTGACCTTAACATGAGTGTGTGATGAGACACCCTGGTATATGTGATGTGGGAGATGCTGGGAATAGACAGTGTGGCTGGAGGATTACACTGAATTGCAGCTGTAGGTGTCACATCTTTTAAAACAGCTGTAAAACGTAGGTAGAGAAACATCTGTCTGTGTTTTCTAACACTGTTGAATGGTATTACTTAACACATTTCAATGCTATGGAGTCAGCAGTAGTAATAAGTACATTTGTCCTGTCAACAAATATTGAATCATTTTTTTTCTCTGAAGAGAGAGAAAAACTTTCCATTTGTTTGACATTTCCTTTCCACACTTTTATATCACTGCATACGAGAACTTCTCCTGCAGACAGACAGAACAAAAGTGTCAGATCTTTGGTACAAACTTGAAGTAGGGTTTCAGTAGGAACAAACGGATGCTTCAGCCTTTGCCGGCCTTTTGTAAAGGGGTGATTGTCCCCTTGTCTCATAGCAAATAGGTTATGGATGTAAAGGAATGATGTACGTGAATGAATCCTCTTCCTGTGGGTTCCTGAATTTTACTCTGTATGAAGGAGTGGAGTCCTGTAGGAGATATTTCTGTCTGAGCCTGTTTTTTGGGGGGTAGAGGATCCAGTGATGCTGCTCCTGTCAACTCCTGGATGCTCCTGACTTACATGTGCAAACTTAAAATTCTAATGTAGACAACTACTTGAGCAAAGGTCTATGTTAATAATGCTGCTGATCACTGGAGCAGAGGGAGCACACTGGAAAGGAAACAGAAGAATCTCCAAAGCATTTTAACATATAACTAAAGGTAATTTGTTTTTCCCTGACAGCACCACCTGAACTAGTGTTTCCTGAGTTATTGTGAAGAACAATGAAAACAAGCTACTCTGTGTCTAAAACCAACCCACAACAGCCCAGTGACTGAACCCTTCCTTTAGATAAATACTGCTCCTATTGGCAAAAGCAAGCCATTACTCAACATTACCTCCCTCTAGACTGCCTGGTTCTTCTGAAGATCCCGCATTCCTGCAGGTATAATAGATGAGGAAAATTAATAAGAGGCTGAAGACATCTCATGGCAGATTACTTTCAAATGGTAGGATATGAGGACAGTTACTGACTGGGCTGGTGCTGGTTTGACATGTTGGTTTGACCTCCTGTGTCCCCGTGATTTCCTTGGGCCTGAAAGCAGTGAAGCTGCGTTAATGCGGTGCTGCTTCCACTTATGTGCTTTTACCTCTTGGTAGGGTTCATGACCTTCAGTGCAGGCTGAGGCTGCAGCAGCAACACTGCTACCAACTTGATATAAGCAAGTCTGAATCCCACTCCTCAACATGTAGGCACACTCTGTAGATGTTCCTTAGATAGAACTTATGAAAATAAGCCATAGAAATGGAGGCTAACACACCATCTTTTCCCTCATGAGATAAAATTCTGCAAAATGCTTGCTTGATTTTGATTAGTGTCCAGTTTGCGTTACAGTTCTTTGGCCTGCAAATATGTGGGAGGGAAGGTCTTGCCTGTACAAAGTTTATATGGGACTTTGAAATGGGTGTTCAGTCTTGCCTTGTGCCTGGTCCTCCCTGTTTGTTCTTTTGTATCCATTCCCAATGGGTGAATCAGTCAAAGCCACCCTGCTGCTCATGGAATGTGGAAGTTAAAGCCCAGGGAAGTCCTGTGCCCCAGAGGCAGCTAGAAATCAGTAGGGATGAAAGCAAAAAGTGGAAACAAAATCCAGTTCCTCACACAGCCATCACAACTAGATAGCCAGGAGATAGCAGAAACAAGTTTCAGCTTGGTACTGTACTTCTAACTCCAAAAAAAATCAGGCAGCTGGAATAGAGAGGCAGGAGACAGAAGTTCTGGGTTCTGTTACTGCCTCTGGTATTACACTTAGTTTCTGAGCTTTGGTTTCATGGAATCCACCATCAGACCAGCTCATAGCTATTTAACAAAACATGATTCTTGCTGCTGCAAACTCCATGAGAAGTTCCCTTTTGCCAAGGGTAAGTACCAGGCCCATACAACTCTGGGAATGGCCATGGGGCCCTAGGAGATTCTTTGAGCAGCAGTGAACTTCATTGTCTGTAAATATCTGTCTTGCATTAACATAATTTGTTTTATTTTTTTATTTGAAGTTTGTCTTCTTTATTATGTGAATGTAACGTGCAGCAGCACACTTTAAAACAACCCGTGTTTCTAGAAAGGTATACTAACAGAAATGGAAATTAATTTAACATTTAATATGTTGATGTTCATGATTTTTGTGATTGACAAAGTCCATAAGTATATGTAAATGTCAATTTTACCAGTGTCACTAAGTTATGTCTAATAAAACTTAACAACTAATTGATGCAATTATTTCTGCCCACTTTACATCCATTAAACCATGCAGCTGTTGCTCACACTGCACAGCACCACACCTGGCACCTACACACCTCTCCAGAGGACTGAAAGGAAACTTTTTATTTCCTGCAAGCACAAGTGTCCACACAAGGACATACAAATTTTTTTATGATAACAGACCTAAATATATTAATAGCCTAAATATATTAATATTAATATATTAATGAGGTGTGCTCATTTCAGTCTAGGCTTGCACAGGACATTGCTGTGATCCGTCACTGCTTTCACTCAGATGCCATGCTACAAAATGGTGAGGAGAGAGGGAAGTATAGTGCTTTTTGTCTGTTATTTTTGCAGCATCTGGCACTCTCATTTAATAGACTTATACCTTCTTTCTTAGTCAGCTGAACATCCTGATCCAGGGCAACCTGATTCATCATAGTACTCTGAGTACTCCTGATTCTGACTCTGAAATTATGAATTGTACGATGGCACTGAGGTGTCACGTAAAGAGACTGAAGATGAGAGAGAAAAGCGTGACTAAAGAATTCAAAGCTCTAGTCAGCTCTACTTGACAACAAAGTAAAACTGTTAGTTATTAACTTTCCCTTCTGATCATGGGCAGGTTTGTTAGTAACCATGCACCAGCTGGGGCGAGAGAGATTTTTCATTGGAATGGAGATTGCATATTGCTTATGAAAAGATACAAAGTGAGCTTTCCTTTATCTCTTTTGCCCTCATCTAGAAGCCACAATAAGTCCATGAGATGATTCATAAACACAATGGCCTGTTGCCAGGTAGCTGACATCCTGTCATAAAGAGGGAGCAGTCTATAAATAATTTGTGGAATGAGCTGTGATTCACCTAAAATGCTATCTCTCTAGTCATTTCTCTGCTTCATTACTTGTGCATCACTGAATTATTTCAAGGCTAAATACTTAGACGCAGTGCAGCCCAGGGAAATCAGTATAATAATGATGCACGAGGAACAGATAATAAAAATCAACATAAGCATGAAGAGCTGGGATGTCTGAGGTCCCCATTTCCCCTAATTTATTTTTAAAAATCTCAAACTGTAGCTATAATACTGATATGGTGAAATTTCCAACAACTCCTGCCTCAGAAGCTGTTACTAGGCAAAGATCACTCTAACTATTCATTTACTAACTGATATTTGAATGTATAACATCTTCCACCATGACATTATTCCCTGTTAGTGATCACAGACCACAAGGTCAGGAACTGGGAGCTAAGTGATGCTTTCAGGGACACCAAATATGTCACTAGATGAACTGGGATGCAGGCCAGGAATCCTAGCTTCCAGCGGTGCAGAATGAAGGCCTAACAGCACATTAGAGAGTGCAAACGTGCTGTCAGCGCCCAGCTGTGCCCCCCAAGCCCCAGCTGTGCAGATCGCAGCAGCCACGCAGCCGAAGCCCCAGCGGTGCAGCTGCACACCCAGAGGTGTAGCGGGAAGTTGATTTCCATAGTGGGGCTGAGGCTCCAAGGCTTTCACAGCTGGGGGCTTCAGCTGGGGGTGTTTCACTCCACGTCTGTGCAGACGCGGTGCCCGCGGAGCATCTCCCGGCCCCGGCGGGGACCCGCCCGCAGCCGCGGCCCCGCGGCCCTGGCCAGGGTCCTGAAACGACCGCGCCGCTCGGCCCGGGGGTGCGAGAGCATCAGGGCGAGCCAGAGTCCCCACCAGAGAGAGACCCGTAATAGCCGACCCAAACGTTGTGCGACCCACCCGAGATGAGGTGGAGCAGCCCCGTGCAGTTACCAGTGCTCGAAGGACCCCGTCGCACCTGATGGCGTTTGGTTAGAAAAATGAGCTTTCTTTGATCTCGAGGTAATCTTTACCTGATAACGTGACTGGGGTCAGAGAGCCAGGCAGAAATACTATGTTCACCGGGCTACATCCTTGGTAAACATAACTGACACTTTACAGGTACAACCAGTGCTGAGCTCCTCTGCCCAGGCTGTGAGGTAGCTGAGGAGCAGGCAGGGTCATTTCAGAGTATCCTACCACATACCACCACATGTAGAGAAAGTGTCCACCAGAAAGCTCCCCTTACCATTGTTATGAACTGCAGTTTATCCTGGATACAGAATGAAGAAATTATCAACTGCCTCCAAGCCAGGACAGAGGAAACAAGAAAACCCTGCAACCTTTGAGAATAGCGTCCTTTGTAACCTCCAAAGGTTACATGTTTAATTGTGTATCAGGCTCCAGGTATTACATTTGATTCTACAGAAACATTTGTTACTAGTGAATTAAAATAATCATCACTCTGTGTTACAGGATTATGTAGACTATCCAGACAGGAATATGGACTCCATTATATTGGAAATCATATTCAAAATGTTAACCACTCTATAGTGAATTCTCTTTTCATTTCCCCTGATGAGATTCCCCAATAACCTCCCCCTGTTTTAAAAGGTCCAAGTTACATTATTGTAAGTAGGACCTGAAATATATGTAGTGTTTCCACTTTTCCCCCAACATCCATTCTGTAATTACATGAGACACAGATGTTAAAATTATTTTCAGTAATCAAGAGACTGAAAATAATAATAAACCCTACCTTTCTGCTGCTCTCCTATTTTTTGCTTATCTAATCCCATTTGAAATCTAGGATCTCAAAATCATCTAGCAATTTCAAATAGTGATGAAAAAAGGAAAATCTGTGTTGATAGAAAGCTTCTATGCAGACTTTGATTTTAAGAAAAGTTGACATCTCTTTTCATTATAGAACCAGACAGTTCCAAGACACAAGCAACTTCTCTTTATATGAAATACACACTTTTGTCCAGACCTAGACACAATCCTCACCTGACAACAGTGTAACCCAGGTTAGCTCATTCTCAAGCTCTGAATACTCCTGTAAAACAAGAATCCAGCTCAGCAATAGTCACACTTGGTTGTAACTGTTGCATCTGCTTTGAATTCCAGTTCCCTCACTTGGACATAGAATTAAACAGAACAAGTAGGAATGACAGGATTCCTTCTCGCTTCAGGAAACAGGGCTAATTTTGTTTACCTGTGGGTCATGAAATATTTAGTGATAGCTTTCTGCAAGTGAATGGAGAAATCCTGATTTAATATTGGTAAGTACTGTTCGAACCTGCCAGCTCCAGTTTCCTTCAGAGTGATATTAGTCTGGTATTTTTCCTTCCCTTCTTACCTGAAGCAAACAATAACACTGCTGTTTGAAAGATGCTGTGCTCCTCCATTACAATTGCTTCATTTCAACAAAAATGATTTTCTGAACTAGATGGGTCATTTTTACAGTCTGTAAAAATTGCACTAAGCCACTGAAATCAACATGACTTAGTCCGACCCCTGAGGACAAAATGAGCTGAAAGAGCTTTAAATTTCTTCTTAGTAAAAGACCTTTTATCAAAATGAAATATCATTACCTCAGTGGCCCTGTGACCATTTCAGAGGTATATAAACATTTGCTACCTATCTGTTAGCCATTCAATTACTAAGATCTTGATACTGTGTAAATATTTAACTACAATAGGGGATATAAATCAGAGAAAGTGATTCTGTTTCATTTAACTGGTGGCAGTAAATCATAGCCTATTCAGACTACTGGGCTACACCCAAAGAAATGACTGAGCTGTGAACACAGGCAGACATTACCTAAAATTTCCTGTAAAGCAAGTCCTAATTTAATTCAGAATTCATAGGGGGCAGACTAGCAGTATACCACAACTCCAGAAACCTGAAGCACTTCCAGACAGTTTTACTGTATCATCCAGGAAGGGAGAAGTTGCCAACACCCAACCTTTGGACTAATTCTCCAGAAGATGTGAGCAGAAACATGAAAGGGGTATGAAAGCAGGGGCTATTGAGTTTGAGGCCCTGGATACTAATGACAAAGGCAGCAGAGAAAAGGAGTAGCCAGTGAGTTTTGGTCTCGTTCAATCAGCTAAGTCTGAGTATAATTAGAGGCAGCAGCATGATGAAACACGAGACCAGTCAGCCTTTATCCAAGGGTTGATCCAGATTTTTGTGTTAAAGCAAAAGTTCAGGAGCTGCCACAGAAACAGCAACCCTGCGTGCTGTTACTTCAGAGATGCAACGCTGGGCTTCCCATCACAGCAAGACATGGATTCCCTAAATGTACTGCAAATTGAAAGTTTAAGTCTTCGGGGACTTGGCTTTTTCTCTGAGAATAACAACGTGCTCAGCTTTAGCAACAGCCACCAGGGACGGAGTCACTGTCACCATTCTCCAGTGAATTGCCCTTGCAATACCCTCTCTTTGACTTTCTGTTGTACAAGTCTTGGTGCCAACCCTGGGGCCACAATTTTGGGTCACACTTCCTCGTCTCTAAGAGACACCAATACTGGTGCATGTTGGTGGTCTCTGTCAGAACTTGTTTATCCTCACATTCTCATTTCTGCCTGTGCCATCCTCTGCCATCCAAACACTTCAGCCAGAGCAGCAATCAGTGTCACCCAAGTGGCTCACAGACCCCTGCTACAGACTTTGATGGATACTAAGGAATGGGATACTTCTACCAGAAAAGCATGGGATGCTTCTGTCAGCAACACATCACTGCCCGGGGGCACCTCATTTAGAGCCTCTGCTTACCCTTTGCTGTGCTCTGGAAGGGGCACTTGAGGAGAGAGGAAAGCAAGGCTTGCTCGCAAAGAGATAAGAAATGGGTTTATTTCCATCCTTTTTGGGCTCGGGGTTTATCCTCCCTGCTTGCAGGACGCTTCACCTCGCCAGTGCCACCTGGTGGGCCCCGGATCTACAGACCCGCACCCGTGGGGAGGAAGAGGAGAGTGAGCCGGGGGCCTACAAGTCAGAAAGTTCTGCAAAACAGCATGACTGCAGATAGAGCAGGTATAACATACACACACACACTTTTCACAACTTTTCCAAGGTGCATGGCCTGACCTGGGGCTGATGATTGTGGATGTCATTCTATCTCAGCAAGAGTAAAAATTCCCTCTGCCTGCCCTCCTCCACTTGGCCCACATGC